AAGTTGGAGTAAATTGAGATCTAAACATACTAGTAACTTAAACAAATGAAAGCTAGAACTAGAGAACATACGCAATCCATGGATTAACTTCTTCACAATTAAGCAAAACATAAAGTTCTGCTGCCTTTAATTCTTTGGGTGACAATGCACACATACGCATTTCTCCACCTAATGGTTGACCTCGATGTTTAAAGACAAGCAAACAATTATCCATATCATCATTCATGCCGACAATGTTTCTTGGTTGACGATTCAATCTTGTGTCTATGTTAGATCCAAAATAATGCGAGCAGAAGAAGGAAATTTCTGAAAGAATATTAGACTCGCAAATTGAAGTTTCAACACGATTTTTGTCAACACTGTTTTCTTAAGGTCATGCATTTTTCTGTTAAACAAATAAGAAAATTAATTAATAACATTAAATTATTAAATATGCTCATGAATGTTATTGTGATGTAAAGATATATAAGAAGAAATATACCTTTCAAAAGGATACATCCAACGAAATTGGACAGGTCCTCCAACTTTTGCCTCATATGGTAGATGGATAGTCAAATGCTCCATCAAGTCAAAGAATGCTGGCGGGAATACTTTCTTTAACTTGCAAATGGTCTCAACAATTTTTTCCTCCCACATCTCCATGTTACTGACTTGAATAATCGAAGCAGTTAAAGCTCTAAAAAAGTTACTCATCTCAGTTAAGGGACCCCAAACTTCATCTATGAGGAAATCACGGAAAGCAATTGGCAAGAGACGCTGCATGAATACATGGCAATCATGACTTTTCATCCCAAACAATCGAAGTTCCTGCATGTTAACACATCGTGCTATGTTGGATGCATACCCATCTGGGAATCTCAATTCCTTCAGCCACTGACAGATAAGAGCTTGTTGCTCTCGACTAAGAACGTATGAAGCATTGGGTTTTATAGCTGTTCAATCATCTTGAGGTATCAATTCTAATTCAGATCTATTGCAATACAGTTGTAAATCCAATCTAGCATTGGTGTTATCCTTCGTACAACCCTTGTCATCCATGACAATATTTTTAATGTTATCTAAAAAATTCTTCTCACAATGCATGATATCAAGGTTATGACCAATCAATAAATCCTTCCAGTATGGCAATTCCCAAAATATACTACGTTTCACCCAATTATGAAATACACCAAATCCTTCAATTGAATGTTTACGAAGTGGCTAACCAAAGACTATGTCAGGGAGCTGATTAACCCTTTCTTCCATCAAAGTACCATCTAGTCTTAGGGGGGGACGGCTTTTTTCAACTCTATTGAGATAAAAATTCTTCTTATCTCTACAAAATGGATGTTTAGGAGGTAAAAATTGACGATGACAATTAAAAAATGATGTTTTCCTCCCATATTGAAGTTGAAAAGCCTTAGTGTTCTCCATGCAATAAGGGCATGACAACTTCCCATGTGTGCTCCAACCAGATAACATGCCATAACCTGGAAAATCACTTATAGTCCATAGCAATGTAGCTTTCATGATAAAATTCTGTTGTCTGAAACTATCATAAGTTTCAACCCCATTTGTCCACAATTCCTTAAGTTCATCAATTAATGGCCTAAGCATGACATCAATTTTTTTCCTGGACTTTTAGGTCTAGCAATTATCATGGCAAGAAATATATGCTCTGACTTCATACACCATTCAGGACGAAGGTTGTACACTGTAAGAAAAACAAGCCAACAAGAGTAAGGCGTTGCAGAGCAACCAAATGGATTGAAACCATCTATACAGAGGCCAAGTCTAACATTTCTAGGTTCATCAGCAAATGTTGGGTGGGTTTCATCAAAGTGTTTCCATGCCTCACTACTCGCAGGATGAATAACTTCATCCGCATCCTCACGGCATTTCAAATGCCATGTCATGTGCTCTACTGTTTTTCTAGACATGTATAGTCGCTACAATCTTGGGGTAATTGGAAGGTACCACAAAGATTTCCTTGGAACATCTTTCTGCCTTATAGCAAACATATTCCTTGGGTCATAACGAGATTCTCCACATATTGGACAAGCAGTTAAATTCTTACTTTGCTCATTATAGTACAAGAAACAATCATTGACACAAATATCAATTTTTTTGTATCCAAGTCCAAGCATATTTATCATTTTTTTTTTTTGCACTATAGAAATCCTTTGGGCACCTTTTCTTGGTCCTCTGGACTCAACAACTTTCGACTCAATGACAATGCCATTTCCCAATTAGCAGCACTCATATTATAAAGAGTTTTCATGTTTAGCATTTCTGCCATCCATGAAAGTACTGTAACATCCTGTCCCCCAACACCTATATGGACTTCTGTAGCATGCAAGAGATCATAAAATTCTCTTGCCTTACTATTTGGCTCCTCAGCCATTGGCCCGTCATTGTATTCAGACTGTCCACCCATTGCATCAACTACCATTTCATGGTATAATGCATCTACGTCATTTCTAACAAACTCCATATTAGAAGATTCCCCTTCAAAGTTTCTTACTGTATTACTAGATGTCTCTCCATGAACATACCATGTATAATAGTTATTCATAAACCCATCTTACACAAATGCACAGAGACGACCTCAGGATTTCCCCATTTTCTACATTTACATTTCAAACAAGGACACTTAATCTCTGATTTTGCTTTCGGTCTTGAAAATGCAAATCTCACAAAAAATTGCACCCCCTCTTTAAATTCATCAGTAACAAAACCACTATCATCCACACGACGATCTATCCAACTACGGTCATCCATCATTTAATTACTTAATTTGAATTTCAATTTGACAAAGTATATTATCATATCAACTAATAACCATACATGTCAATAACCACACATGTTAATCTTAATCTTAATAATTTTAAATTAAATTTCTTTATGTATATGAATTCAATATATAA